CTATATTGTAATAGAGCCATTAGCATTAAATCATATTTTTAATTTAGCGGGCATTGATATGTTACTTTTTTTATTTGGATTTTAATACAAGTGAGCATTAAATCATATTTTTAATTTAGCGGGCATTGATATGCTACTTTTTTTATTTGAATTTTAATACAAGTGTCTAATTCAAGATTTGGTGTGAGAGTAAAAATTGGGAGTAGATATAGTATTTTCCTTTTAGTATTGAGTAGATGAGAGAGTAGGAAATATAGTATTGCAGGGTAGAGTTTTCTGGGTATCGTTCTCACTTGCCTGCGTCACCCATGTGCGGCCTTAAATACAGATGCTGCCTATATATATACCATCAGTCGGTAAAACTATCATCAATTGGAAAGAAACCGAATTTTCTTCGTGTAAGGACAAAATACTTGATGTATATTGTTGAAAGAAGGCTAGGGACTGGACGTTTGGACCTCGTTGGTATTCAAAAGAAAGAAATGCTAGGGCAGTGAGTGTACCTAATGTTTTATTGTTTCCACCGACAGACTTACCCGTTACTACCGGCTACTATCATAGTTAATTTGGTTTTGACAATTTGGCTCTCCCGTACGTGTTTGTATTCCAAGAATAAGTACATTCCTCTGTTGTTGATAATGATTTAGGACAATCTACAAAGGGCTTCTGCTAAAAGTCACATAAGTAATAATGGGAATTCTGTTGATTAACAGGAGCATCAGGAATAGCACAGAGAGGCGAAAACTTGGATATTTCTCATGTGGGACTGGTAATCCGATTGATGACTGCTGGCGTTGTGACCCAAATTGGCACAATAATCGCCAGCGTCTTGCGGACTGTGGAATTGGGTTTGGGCGCAATGCCATTGGTGGGCGTGATGGTCAGCTCTACGTTGTTACTGATCATGCTGATGATGACCCTGTGAACCCTAAGCCTGGCACTCTTCGCCATGCTGTGATCCAGGATGAACCTCTGTGGATTATCTTCAAGCGCGACATGGTTATTACACTGAAGGAGGAACTGATTATGAACAGTTTCAAGACCATTGATGCCCGTGGAGCCAATGTCCACATTGCTAATGGAGCGTGCATCACAATACAGTTTATTACGAATGTGATCATTCATGGTCTACATGTCCATGACTGCAAACCCACAGGAAACGCGATGGTCAGGAGCTCCCCATCTCATTACGGTTGGAGGACAATGGCGGATGGTGATGCCATTTCCATCTTCGGCTCAAGCCATATATGGGTTGATCACAACTCACTCTCAAACTGTGCTGATGGCCTGGTTGATGCTGTCATGGGCTCAACTGCCATTACCATTTCCAACAATCATTTCGCCCACCACAATGAGGTTGAATTGATGTATTAATTTTTGAATTAAGTTTTAATTTACCTAACATTTAAGGATGTGATGGACTAATTGCATTGAGTGAATGGGGAACACAGGTCATGCTGTTGGGCCACAGTGACTCTTACACAAGGGACAAGCAAATGCAAGTGACAATTGCCTATAACCACTTTGGAGAGGGCCTCATTCAGAGAATGCCAAGGTAATATTTCTTAACTTTTAGTATTTCCCTCAAATTAATCCTCTTCTTATGTATATATCTATCTTAATTAAATTATAATCTGCAATAATTTTAATGTTATCCTTAATTTGGATTTGGGGCTTTCTACAATATTAACTTAAACAATTATATATGAAATGAAATTAAAGGTGTAGGCATGGGTACTTCCATGTGGTGAACAATGACTACACTCACTGGGAAATGTATGCCATCGGTGGAAGTGCTAGCCCAACCATCAACAGTCAAGGCAACCGATACCTTGCTCCAGTCAATCCTTTTGCCAAGGAGGTACTGAATAATCAATGAATTAACTTGGTTTTGCCAATTAGGAATTAGATTGTATTGGATCATTAAATGTGTTGAAAATACAGGTGACAAAGAGAGTTGAGACATCACAAAGTGAATGGAGAGGTTGGAACTGGAGATCAGAGGGAGACTTGATGCTTAATGGAGCCTATTTTACCCCATCTGGAGCCGGTGCCTCAGCCAGCTATGCAAGAGCTTCAAGCTTAGGTGCCAAGTCCTCTTCTTTGGTCGGCGCAATTACTGCAACTGCTGGTCCACTTGCTTGCCGCCAGGGCCGCGCATGCTAGCACCCTCGGCCCCCGGCCCCCTCATTTACACCCAAATAGAAAAAGAAAAAAATGATCTTCTTCCTTCTCTCTCTCTTTTCTCTTCAAATTTCCATTTTTACTAAAACCCACTATCCATACCCATATCACATCCATTGGCTGTTGAGCCAAAAAAAGTCTGCTACAATTTTCACGCCTCCGATCCATCTCAAGATGTTGTGCAACCTCGGCCTGCTTCTACCCAGCCAAGCTAATGCTATTGCAGATGCAGGCGCAGAAGCGTTGTCCATCACCACAAATATATATTTATATATATATATCCACTCCCTCCTTTTTCAATTATATTTATTGTCCCTACATAACCAGATTTCCAATCCATTCATCAAAGCATCATATCCATTGGAGCCTTAGTCATTGCTCTACATGTTGTACGTGCTTGCCTTAAATTATGAAAGTATCATAGGAACTGTACTAGATGATATTGTAAGTTCCTGTTTTAAGTGGCCCCAGCTATATAAATATATAGTGTGAATGTCAACATTGTTATTGGGAAACAAAAGAAACAGAAAAGAAATTCTTCTTTGTAATACACTTGGAAGCTAAGTTATATTTATTTCAAATGTTTTTCCTTTTTTGCCTTTTTCTTTTGACAATTGTATTAGGTCTACAAGTTAGTTATTTCAGGTTGGGATTCCTTGTGCGTTCTGAATAATTCAATTTGATGTGAGTCTCGAAACTAAACATACTTACTTTACTTTTACATAGCAAGTTTATGAATATTTTACGGTATTTAAATATATTTGGGGAAAAATTGAAACCTAAATTAAATATTTAAGAAAAACAAATGTCCATAGCATTAAGTAGTGGAGCTACTGGGGACCAAGGAAAGTGAAGTGTTCACATGGTTTGGGGAGAATGGATGAAATGTAAAGAGAGAGGGATAGATGCGGCCATGTGTTAATGCACTTTCAGGCGCAATATCCTAGCACATGCTGCTGCACTTTCATTCAACGTGTCACGCCTAACCCCGCACAGGCCGGAATTCTGCCCAATCTTCAAGATTTAGGCGCACAAACCATTACTTTTTGGATTGATTTACACATTGCAATGCATCATAATTTGCCGAAAAAATTGTCAAATAAATAAGCCCTTAAACTTTACACGAAAGTATAATTAAACTCTTTAACTTTAAAAATATGTAATTTAACATTTAAACCACTTGAAATAACTGATCATTAAGGTTTCGGTGAAAATTTTTACAAAAATTTTCGGTGACGGCTACGGATGAGTACCATTGAAAAAATAAAAAAATGACCGGTGATTTTGTACTCTCTTCTCTTGTTTGTGAGGGTTCTATCATGGAGGCAGTGGAATCGGCCACGACGACGGCATATATACCAAGGCAGTGGTTGAATTGATTTTCCGGACATTTTCTCATGCAAAAAATCACAATTACTCTAGGATTTAGATTGGTGATTTTGTACCTATTCTCCCGTGCATGAGAGATTTACCTGGTTATTTCATATTTTTTCAATTTCTACATGTTCTGTGTATTTTTAGTTGATTTTCAGGTGGCCTTGCTTTGTTGTTCGATTATTTTTGACAAATTTGGTGTTTCCAACTATAGATATGATATTTGATTGTCCACCTTAAACGGCGACAATAAAATCTCATTGACCAAACCAAGCGATGATTTGACTCATGCGAGTGGGAGTGAACTGCTCACCATTATCGTGGAGAACCGTGGACTACCTGCGACGAGGAGTAAGACTAGAGATTCGACCTTCAAATTATCAAATTTTACGTGCTTGGAAGAGACCAATCAGTGGCAACCGGAAAGCCAGTTGTCTTCTCCGGTGAATTAAGTAACCATTGCCGACATGGACAGCTCAACTGATTATAGGAGTGAAGTTTGGGAAGAAGGATAAAGGCAATCTTTTAGTTGGCGGTGATTGGTTTTTTCTTTAAATGGCGGCGGCAAATGGTAGTCAATTATTTTTTCATTTGTCGATGATTATTAATTGACACGATACCAGAGTTTTTCATTTTTGCCCCTGGTTGCTTTTCAAGTGTTTGGTAATTTTGTATTCGATTGGGCTTGGCCTATAAATAGGCCCAATGGATGGATAACATATTAGGCCCAGCAGTTGGCATCAATGATAGTCGGTCGTTATACAGTTATACTTATACTGTGAACTGCAGTGTACGTACACCGCGGTCAAAACGGAATCATTTCTTTAAATAAAGAAACGACACATTAACAATGATTATTAATTGTGACACGAGACCGGAGTTTTTCATTTTTGCCCCTGGTTGCTTTTCAAGTGTTTGGTAGTTTTTTATTAGATTGGGCTTGGCCTATATATAGGCCCAATGGATGAATAACATATTAGGCCCAACAGTTGGCATCATTGATAGTCCGTCGTTATACTGTGGACCGCGGTGCACGTGCACCGCGATTAAAACGGGATCATTTCTTTAAGTAAAGAAACGACACGTCGTTATTGTTAACGGAGTGTGTATTTTTGTATGTGTTAATTACCAACTGAAACTACAGTGTATCTAAACTGATACTGTCTCATGTATTATTTTGATATTATCAAATGAAACTGTAGTTATATCAAAATGATACTATAGTTGTGGTGAAATGAAGCTGCAGTTATATTAGCGCTATATTGTGTATTGACTTAATGGTGTAATTAAATACATTGGTTGAAAATATTAGATGAGGATGATGGGAATTATGGCCTGGCCTCACCCGCACTGTATGATATAGCGTTAAGTTCACAAAAACCCAAATGGAAACGTTGCCGTATTGGGGGATTATATATAAAATATACTCCACCATAAAACCCTATTTTCATTCTCAGTTCTACAACACAGTGAAGTTCTTACAGCTTACATTGCCCGCGTACACCACCACTACAGAACAGCTTGCTATGGATGATGTATGCGAGGGCAAAGATTTCTCCTTCCCCAAGCAGGAGGAGAGAATCCTTCAATGGTGGGATGAAGTCAAGGCCTTCAAGACTCAGCTAGACCGGACGAAAGATATGCCGGAGTATATCTTCTATGACGGCCCGCCTTTCGCTACAGGTCTGCCGCACTACGGCCATATCCTCGCCGGGACGATCAAGGATATCGTCACTCGGTACCAGTCCATGGCCGGCCACCACGTCACTCGACGGTTCGGATGGGACTGCCACGGCCTTCCTGTCGAGCACGAGATCGATAAGAAGCTTGGGATTAAGAGCCGCGAGGATGTGATTAAGATGGGCATTGACAAGTACAACGAGGAGTGCCGGGGGATTGTGACCCGGTACGTTGCGGAGTGGGAGAAGACTGTGGTCAGGATGGGGCGCTGGATTGATTTCAGAGACGATTACAAGACTATGGATTTGAAGTTCATGGAGAGCGTCTGGTGGGTCTTTGCTCAGTTGTTTGACAAGGGACTTGTGTATAGAGGCTTCAAGGTTTGGCTTCGCTTACTTTCTTAATGGAGGTCAATTTCTGTTTTTTTTATTGGTTGTTTCATTAATTATCTTAATGGAATTTGATGTCCGTATAAGTTGATGGTTTGCAGGTTATGCCATATAGCACGGGTTGCAAAACTCCATTATCCAATTTTGAAGCAAATTCAAATTACAAGGTACAGCATACCGTAATTGTTGTGCTACCATTCTCATAAGTTTGTTCTTGTAATATTCATTTTAATTCTAATCTAATAATATATGTGCTACTGTGGCACCTTTAATTTGTATGGACTATTTGAAAAAAAAGATTGTAACTTTACATTTTAAATTAAAAGGATTAGGAAGTACTATTAAAGGGAATGCATGCTTAAAGTGGTTGCTTGAAAAATGTGTAGTAGCAATTTTCATATTGTGGGAAGTGAGAGGGAGAGACATGGATTGAGTGGAATGGAAAGAATCACGAGCAATGGGAAATACCTGGTTGGTGAGTGGAATTGGAAAGCCTATTACTCCCTTTTATGATTATCCTCCCCTAGCATTAAAAATCTCTCTCCAAACAAAAATAAGTAATCAATTCTTATTCACATAGCTGCATGTTGCTTGTAAGAAAAGGTTCTAAGCTTTAGGTCACTTAAAAAGACAACATTGCATTAGTTGATTTTGATACTCTCTATTCCAAAGAGGAAGACATTTTGTTCATGTTACTTAATATTGTTATTTGGTATCCCTAATCGTAGTAGGATTGCCAGTTACTATGTGCTCAATTATCAAAATAGAGATAAAGAAAGCACTTTTTATGTCATGTGGTTAAACTGTGCAAAACAGGGCCTGATAAAATCCACTATCTTAGTTGACTTTGATATTCTCATCCAGTTGCAAAATATATGGTCATTATCTAACTTTGGTTACCATTGAATCACCTATCCTTCTTGTTTTCTAGCAGCTTTGTTTCTATATATAAGCTCTGTGTTGCTTTTAGAGACATCATTTCATGAGTTAATTTTGAGATACTCTATTTCAGACAGATGCAACATTGTTCAAATTACTTAAATCTCTTTAGTTGAGAATGCCTAATCATAGTTGGATACTTGGATGCCAATTATCATATACTCAATTATCAAAATAGTGAAAAAGAAAGAACTTGTATGTCCTACTGTTTAATGTTAGGCTGCACAAAACAAGCCCTCGTAATCCTGTCTTAGTTGGTTTTGATATTCTCATCTGGTTGGAGAATATACAATGATTATCTAGTCTAGTTTTTATACCCATTGAATTTCCTGTCCTTTTTGTTCAGTGCCATCTCTGTTCCTGTATATATAAAATACTGATTTTTTAGATCTTGATATTGTGCGCAGGAAGTTCCTGATCCTGAAATCATGGTATCTTTCCCCATAGTTGATGATCAAGACGGTGCATCTTTTGTTGCTTGGACGACGACTCCATGGACTCTTCCTAGTAATCTTGCTCTTTGTGTGAATGCTAATTTTGTGTATCTAAAGGTTAGTACTATATATGATTATTTGACGAGTATGATTTATGATACTTCATGAATGACTCACCATGAATATATTCAAAATTCCATTGTTGGGTAATTTATTAACACAAGCCTTATATTCTTTGATACCCTACTATTCCTATTTATAAAATTATCTTTGTTGATATCTTCAGGAATGTCAAATGTATGCCTTAGTTCATACCCTGTACTGAGTTTCTTTCCTTTTTTCTTCTTCTTCTACCCCCCCCCCCCCCCCTCTCTCTCTCTCTCTCTCTCTCTCTCTCTCTCTCTCTCTCTCTCTCTCTTCTTATTATTTATATTAAAAATAGTGTTGGAGAACTTTTGAGCATGTAGTTGTCTCATAGTCTAATTTCCTTGTCTTGTGGTGCTTATTGCTTCATTTCACAATTCATTTCATATTCCTCAATCTGTTCACTCTAGCTACATTATTTTCTGCTTGCACTATTTAAGGGTTTGTTATTATTGTGTCATATGAGAAGTTGAATATCCATTTATATATATATATATATATATATATATATATATATATATATATATATTTTAACTAGACAAACAGTTTATTCTATATTTTATTGTATCAGTTACTAAAGATTCTTTTGTGCCTTGGTCTTTCTATGCACTTGTTATGTCCATTTGCATCTAATGCAAAACTGAAAATGGCACAGGTTCGCAACAAGTTTGATGGGAAAATCTATGTGGTGGCCGAATCTAGACTATCTGAGCTTCCTTTAGAAAAAGCAAAAAAAGGCACCACCAATGGTGCTGTTAATGATACCCAAAATTCAAATCCTAAGTCCAAGCCTTCTGGTGGTAAATCAAAGAATTTGGATACTTACGAGATTTTGGATAAAATCTCAGGGTCTTCACTTGTTGGGAAGAAGTGAGAATTTACCCTTGTTCTTAATTGCATTTCATTATTTTAGTGCACTTATTTTCCAGCTTTTAATGTCTTGGCATGATAAAAACAGTTCTGATCTGGATGGTTGGGCCTTTCCCTCATTAGTGTGAACCCACAAGTATAGGTTTCTTCTGTAACTGTCTTTTCCCTTAATAAATCCAGAGTATTTACTGCGTAGATCAGATTGGTTATCCTTTTTTTTTTGTTTTTGTTTTTGTTTTTTTTTTTTTTTTTGTTTTTGTTTTTGTTTTTGTTTTTTTTTTGTTTTGCAATTGATTGATAAATATTAACCCATTTTTGCTACAAACTACTCCTATCAAAGAAGAGAATATGATTTTTAGTGTTTGTCTTGGTTCTCTAACGAGACTCCTCTTTTGATTTAATATGGCTGCTTTTGCACTTGGAGCAACTGTAATTGTTTTACATTAGTCTTGTTTTTTTGGCTGGTGAAATTTGTAATGAATGTTAATTATGTCAACACAGGCCACCTACTTATTTTATTGGTGTTTCTTTTACTCTTTTCCTCTTCTGTTAATGAGACAATTGTTCTGTTATTTGCAGGTATGTACCGTTGTTTGATTACTTTAAGGACTTCTCTGATACTGCATTCAGAGTTGTTGCAGATAATTATGTTACTTCTGATAGTGGTTCTGGCATTGTTCACTGTGCTCCTGCATTTGGTGAAGACGATTATCGTGTTTGTGTTGAACATCAGATAATTAACAAGGTTTGTGAATTTGTTAAAACTTGATGGTGACCCATGTGATGCATGGTTCTATTTTGTATATTTCAAAATTGCTTTAATGTTGTTAAATAAGTATTAGTATAATGTAAATATACAATATTGTACCCTTAATGTATTGCTGTGGTACAAACCAAATCATTAATGTTTGCATCATATCTATATGTTCCTACTGTAATTCATCAATTTATTTTTGTATGAATAGATTAATTACAAGTTGTAGTAATTGTACTCCGTAGCTTAATCATATGGAAATAATTAATGATGTTTAGAAATGTGATTGGTTTTTCTCTTCCAAGTAAATGACCTGTATATTTTATGCATGTCTATTGTGATATATAGCTTCTAGTTCTAATCAGCATAACAACTCATGTAAATGAACATATGCTACTTTTCTTCGAAGCTTTTATTGAGAATACCTTCTTTAGGGGGAGAACCTGATCGTAGCAGTGGATGATGATGGTTGTTTTACTGAGAGGGTTTCGGACTTCGCTCGTCGTTATGTAAAGGATGCAGACAAGGATATTATTCAAGCTGTTAAGGCAAGAAACTTCTCATATTATATTGTGTTTTTGTATTTTATTTCATTATTTTTACACAGGTTTTAGCTATACTGCTTGCACAGGAGTCTATTTGCCCCTATTTCCTGTGAATGTTTCATATAGGGCTCTACTTACTAGAATGGATTGAGTTTATCATAATGAAAATATCTCCTTTTATGTCATTTATAGTTGACTCCAAGTCCTATGTTAATTGTATCCACTTTCTTCCTGTAAATCCATACATCCAATGTGTTTTTTTTTTGCCGCTGCTTATTCTGATGAAGCATTGCTCTTTGTTCAGGAGAAAGGAAGGCTTGTGAAGTCTGGAAATTTCACCCATTCCTATCCATTTTGTTGGAGATCTGACACACCACTGATTTACAGAGCAGTGCCCAGCTGGTATCAAATATAAATTCTACTTCTTGAGTACTCAGCTGTTGGCATTTCATTTTATTCATTAATGCATCATTCAGTACCATTTGACAGATTGTTTCTGCCCTGAAATTATGGTGCCATATTTATCTTCAATTACAATCCCTCAGTCGTACCTTGTTTCACAGATTTCATAGTTCTAGTTTCATCCTCCATAATTATGGGATCACATAATTCCTTTAACCAATACCACTTAGTGGGAACGAGGTTTTGATTTGTTTTAGTGTCAGTGGACTGTTATTCATTTTTGTAATTAACAATGAAATCGTGTTGACAGGTCCTAGTCTATTTGGAGCACTGAAATCAATCTTTGTGTTTTGTTGTTGTCATTACTCTGGTTATTTTATCTTTCCTTAGAAGAATTATAAACAGTATGTCCTATATTTGTACAATTCTTTACCACAGTACTAAAACTTACTTTCTTTGATGTGTTCTATACCTGGAAAGTTCTGTTGATTTATGGTTTAGTTTTCAAGTTCAGATGCTCATACTCAATCTTGCACACATATTACTCTTTTATCCAATGCAGTTTGGTTTTAGCAATGCTTAACTTTACAAATCTTCTTTTTAATATTTCTTTGCATGCCTATTGACATCCAAATCACAAGTTTCTCCTCTCGTGTTTAGGTTTGTTGCAGTAGAGAAGATAAAGGATCAATTGTTAATGAACAATAAAGAAACATACTGGGTTCCTGATTTTGTGAAGGTTAGAATTCCTTCCTTTTACATGCATGAGTATTTATATCATGCATTCATATCATTACTGTGCTGGTTATGTTGTATTAAGGTTTCGCTCCTAAATCCATTCCACTGCTTTCCTAACTCTTCTCCTTTTATGCTGCTGCTATTGCTTCTTGATTTTTCCTTATAGACTACTAGTCACTTTATACTTTTGGATATGTAGTATAGAATTATCAAGATTGTCGCCAATTTTCTTAATGAATTGGTGTTGCCATACCAAAAAGAGTATGAAGAAGTTGGTTTGCTTTTCCAACTTCCTGTATATTTTCTCTCATTATTTTTTCCTTTTCTGGGATGGATCAATGTTGGGAAACTGCCACTAGTGTTCTGAAAGGCTTTTGATTTCCTGTTACTATGTCAATTTTGTGGATCTCTGTTTCCTATCCTCATCAGGTTTTGTGAAGTATGCATTGTTCATTGTGTAATGCTGCCTATGTTCTTTTTAGAATGGTATCAAGGGACCAGTTGAATTTCTTTATTTTTCATTCTCAGATACTAAATTTATCACTTGATATTTTTAATGAGGCGTGTCCCTTGACAGGAAAAGCGCTTTCATAATTGGCTTGAAAATGCAAGGGATTGGGCTGTTAGTCGAAGTAGGTTCTGGGGAACTCCACTTCCTGTATGGATGAGTGAGGATGGCGAGGAGATTGTTGTTATGGATTCCATTGATAAACTGGAAAAGCTTTCGGGTGAAAAGGTTTGCATTGTTGATGTGGCTATTTTTCTTCTATCTTGAATGATGGCTATTTTTTATCTATCTTGATGCATTATGCAGTATGCTTACATATGCCATTTTTTACTCTGCATTCCAAAACCAATGACATTGACAGTATGTTAATAAAGAAATCAGTCACTATACTTTGGTGTTTTATGGCTAACTTTTTTCCATGCATACACACACAATGTGGAAATTGTATTGCTTATGTGGCATCATGTTTTAGAAATGCATCAACTCTCTTGTCATTTGATGCCAATCTGGCTGGAAATCTACAATTTTGCAAAGATGTGCTGGAAATGAAAAATTGGAGACTGGTCAAGTTAATAATTTCATCAAATAATTTGGTGGCTGGAAAGGGCTATTGTACATGAACAGTCCCTTTGCCCAGTTGCTGATGCCATATGCCACCTACTGAGAGTGTCATGTGTTTCAGTAGGTGGTGTACTTTTATAATATCTACATGCTCAGCGTGCTATTATCTAAGATTAGATTACATGAGGTTAGGTGCGATTTTTTTTCTTAAATATTCCATTGGGTCCTTTTTATAATTGCAAAACACCTTGCTTTGCACAGCTAGTAAAACAAGTTGTTATTTTCTTATTATGTCACAAATCTATGATTATAATGTGCCTACATAGTGTTTCTATTTGTTCTATGACAATAATTACTACATTTATATTATATATTTGGAAGCTCTGATTTTGCTGATGTTTTTATACTAGTTCCCTCCTTTTTGGTAGCTAACCATCCATATCTTCTCTCCCTGTGGCATGACTTGGTTGGGCTTTCTGCTTTCATTTCATATTTGTCATGAACATCAATTTTTCATTGACAACAGAGGCTAATGCATTAATACTGCTTTGTATTTTTTAATTTAACTCTATTATAAATTTTTGTTTTGACAAATTTAGCAAATCTAAATCATTCTTAGATTCAGAGCAAGTACTAAATTGCAATGTTAATTCCTCTGCAGGTGACGGACTTGCATCGCCATAAGATTGATCATATTACCATCCCCTCTAGTCGTGGATCTGAATTTGGAGTTCTTCGTCGTGTGGAGGATGTAAGAAAATTTCAGCAGTGTATTGACCGCATTGATGCTTTATTTTATCTACTATTTCATCTTTAAAGAATATATTATATTTTTCCTTCGTTATATCCCTGAATTACATTTGACATTCTAATCATTATGCTAACATCATAAGACTACTTTGGTTTTAAATAATACAAAGTGCACAAGGATTCTTCCTACCTATTCTTGTGTTCTAAAAGGGGTGCTGCTACTGATTGGCATCAAGCTGCCACAAAAGTGAAGTGGCACCACCTTTACACAGTATATACTCTTTTCTTTTTTGAGCCAGAATAGTTTTTGGTTGATCACATAGTAACATATATATATATATATATATATATATATATATATATATATATATATTTTTTCCCATTAATTCAGTGATCGTCATTTTAAGCTGTTCAGTCCTTGCATCAAACATCTAGTTTTATGTGTTAACTACTTAATCTCCTTTTTTCAATCTAGAAGTTAATGTTCTGTGCACATTTCTTTATTTAGTTCGTTAGTCTTTATGATTGCAGCAAATAATTCAACATTTCAAATTTATTTATATTTTAACCAAAAGTGGGATTTCACATGGGAATTCCAGAGACTGTATAGGCTTAAAGTTGATTCCAAATGCAAATCCCGCTGGTTAGCTCTGGGTCTACAACATATGCCCAATTCATTAAGTTGTTTATTTATTTATTATTATTATTATTATTATTTAATATTTAATATTTTTTAATGTCTGGCTAAGTGCTAAAGAAAAGGGATTTCTTTAGATATCTCATATCTGGTTTTTAGTGCATTATGTGCTTCATCCACTGAAAAAAGTACCCAGTGCGCTTATTTTTTTCTTGAATAGGTGCATGGTGAATTTGGATTGTATTTCCCTGTCTGTTCAAGCATTACTGTCTCCTATATTTGTTCATAGGCTGCTCAAGTGGGTGCTGATATTCTTTCATCTGTTGGTCATAGTTTTAGAAGAAACTCTTATTTTGTTTAGTTGGCAGGCTAGTAGGATTCTAGTTCTTTTATGTTGCCATTAGCCTCTTAGTTATACTGCTGATTGGAATTATTTGTTGGCACTTTTTTTTTTTTTGGTGCCTCATTTATGTTGTATTTATTTTTGTTTTTCATTTCTACAGGTTTTTGATTGCTGGTTTGAAAGTGGATCCATGCCATATGCTTATATTCACTACCCTTTTGAAAATGTTAAACTCTTTGAGAACAATTTTCCCGGGCATTTTGTGGCTGAAGGGCTTGACCAAACCCGAGGATGGTGAGTTTTACTTTATTGTATTTTTCTTTCATATATATACTATAAACTGAATGTGTCCTTTTCTCTATGTGAATGGTGTGCTTGCCCGTTAAAAGATGCTATATTAGTTTTCATGTCAATTAGTCTGCCCTGCCCCCTTCTTGGGGTGCTGTCAAGGGGCAAGCTGTATGGATTAGTATATTTGTGCGCTCTAGCTGGCGTTCTGGTGATGGAAGCACCTCCAATGAATTTTAACTATTTTCACGTCAATTTTTTAGGTACAAATACATAGCCCCATCTTCATTTCCCTTTACAGGCAGGGTTGTACGAATTGTATAGATAGGGCCATGGCAATCCATGATGCGAAAGCATTCATTCTAAAAATTGGTGACATTTTGGAAGAAGTCAAATAAAAATTTTACATTACTTTGTTACTGATCCTTTTTATGGATCATATAATGGGATTTTGGCACGGTCTTCTCTCGTTCTCGCATTCATTTTCATTTGATTTCTCTCAATGCACAGATCTTCTGTAGTTCCAAACTTTTGTTTTATTTTCTTCTTTCCAAAGCTACAGAATCTGCTTGTAGACTTTTTGCTCGTGGTGTTGTGCATTGCTGATTCATAACTTTTCTCCTGTCAATTGTGTATTACATTTTAATTTTTGGTAGTCTGTGAATTGGAGTTTAACCTTTTGCTGTTGCTTGTTGCAGGTTCTATACCCTCATGGTCTTGTCTACTGCACTGTTTGGAAAACCTGCTTTTAGAAATCTTATTTGCAATGGACTTGTCCTGGCTGAGGATGGAAAGAAGATGAGTAAGAGACTGAAGAACTATCCTCAACCTACGGAAGTTATCAATGATTATGGTGCTGTAAGTGGTGTCAATTATTGCTGCTATTACAGTATTGAGAATCAGAATAATATGCTTGTTTTTCTTGATGGCTAATTTTTTTAATGAACTAATGCTATTGTTCATGGTTTGTTGTGTAGGATGCCTTGCGATTATACCTGATTAACTCTCCAGTTGTTCGTGCTGAGCCCTTGCGGTTCAAAAAAGACGGAGTGTATGGAGTGGTAGGTTTCTAAATATTTGCTTGTTCTGGTTTGCCAGTAATAGTGCTCCTAACATCATTTTCTTTTTGTTTTTCTTAATGAGTTTACGTTTTAGCATTGATATACTGTTCTTTCAACCTGTTAACTTCTGCTTTTAGTTATTTCCTGCTTAGTTCTTAGTTTGCTAAGATTTCTGCATACTGTCTTCTCTTATACTGCAGGTTAAAGATGTTTTTCTGCCGTGGTATAATGCATATAGGTTCCTTGTTCAGAATGCAAAAAGATTTGAGGTTGATGGGCTTGGGGCATTTACTCCTTTTGATAAAAAAACTCTTCAATCTTCTTCAAATGTCCTTGACCAATGGATCAACTCAGCGACTGAAAGTTTAGTACATTTTGTTCGACAAGAGATGGCTGCATACAGATTGTATACGGTTAGTTTTCTTTAACAAATATTGTTTTGGTTAGTGAATTATGGGATAATGAACTCAAGTATAGTTAGTGTATTGCCAATGGCTCTCTTTGTCTTGTTTCATTCTTTTCATTATTTATTCCCTCTTTTAGATGTAGTTGGTCACTTGCTTTGTTTCCAAAAGAAGATGAGTTTCATTTTTTATTTTTTTTAAAAATGAGAAGTAGGCTTAATATTGGAAAAGACTTAATAAGTAGAGTATAGTGTAGATTACTCTGTTGGCCTCTATTAAATAATGCCCTTGTCAGTTTGGAATTCATAATTTCGAACTGTGCTATGCCGGTGCACAGTATTTGGCAGCTCGTGTTTCTGTATGTAATGCAGGTGGTCAATATTAACTTTTTCCACTCACCTTGCAGGTGGTTCCCTATCTGTTGAAATTTCTTGATAACTTGACAAATATTTACGTGCGGTTCAATCGTAAGAGGCTTAAAGGTCGTACAGGCGAGGAGGATTGCAGAACAGCTCTGTCTACTCTCTACCATGTATTCTAGCAATTCTCTGATATCTTGCTATTTAATATTTCATTGTGTCATTAGCATGTTCGGTGATTGGCAATTGGCAATTATTATTACCTGTAAAAAAGTATTCTGTTGTCAAATATTATTATATATACTGATAATTATGTCTGGTATAGACATTTCCTAGCATTCATTTTGAAAAATTTTGCAGCGATGTTTGATGCCAACACATTTATATTCAACATTAGTGATTAGACAAACAAGGATAAGTGCATCTATCTGAACTTGGAATCATAGAACTTACAGTGATATATAAATTTCAAGTTTTGGATCTAACAATAGAATAAAATGATTAGCTGTTCACGATCAAATCTTTATCATTTATTCATTCTAAATGTGTATATGTTGTTTGGTTGGTGGATACAGGTGCTCTTGACTTCATGCAAAGCAATGGCTCCATTCACACCTTTCTTTACTGAGGTTCTATATCAAAATTTAAGAAAAGTTCTCAATGGATCAGAGGGTAGTATTCATTATTGCAGTTTTCCGGAAGTAGAGGGGAAGGTACTACTTATTTACTTTTTAGTTATTTCTTAAAGGGTGATCATTGAATCATTATAACTGAATTTTTAAAAACCTTTCATGTTCTAAAATTTATGTGTTTCTAGAGATGGGAACGGATTGAACAAAGTGTTAGTAGGATGATGACGGTCATTGATCTTGCACGTAATATCCGTGAGCGCCGTAACAAACCTCTAAAAACACCACTAAGGTAGTGTTTCTTGGATTATCTCTTACAGCTTTTGCTTCTGTCCCCCTTTATGCTGTGGCAACAGTAAGGATAATACTGTGAAATGTTATTCTTGTGTCATTTTATTTGTCAGGAACATGGTGGTCGTACATCCAGATGAAGATTTTCTTCAGGATATCAAGGAGAAACTAAAAGAGGTCTATTATTTTCTCTGAGTGTCTTATTATCTTATGCATCTTCTGAGTTGTTTTTAATATATGACATGTTACATTGCGCCTTAGGTGAGCTGTAGTGAATTTATCATATTAATGTATGCAATTAGACAGACACTTTGGAAGTGAAAACTATACACTACACCACATACTTGAGAACAATTTAGAAAACAATAAGTCAATCAAGGGAGACTCTTGAAAATTCTGTTTCACTTGTCCTTCGGTTGTGGGAATGGGCTTCCTTGATTCTTTTTATTTAATTATTATTATTATTTTTATATATATAATTGAGTTTATGTTCATTCATATGAGTTAGGCTCTCTGTTTTATCTGATTTCTAATGATATTGTGTCATTAAGCTGTTCTGTTGCTTGGAAAAATAATTGAAAGAAATTTGTATTAATGTTATTCTTTTGAAATTTCTATTTCATTTTGTTTTTGTTGCACTCTATTGCTACTTTTTTTTTTTTTTTAATTTTTATTAAACATTTTGAGGCTCTCTCCTTGCACCTTATTTGCTTTTTGTTGTACACAATTTATCTCATTTCATAACCTTTATATGGTTTACATTGCATTACAGTTTGTATTAGAGGAACTCAATGTTCAGTCTTTGGAGACATGTAGTAATACTTTGGAATATGCATCTTTACGCGCGGAACCTGACTTCAGGTGATTTGATTTATTATACTGAAATTGCATTATCTGGTCTTTGAATTTCTCTCTCTCATTTGTTGTCACCTCCTCAGTGTGTTAGGAAGAAAACTAGGAAAGTCAATGGGAGAAGTTGCAAAGGCAGTCAAGGCAATGTCAACCGAAGATATTCTGGCTTTTGAGAAAGCTGGAGAAGTTACCTTTGCAAAACACACTTTGAAGCTTAGTGATATTAAGGTGCATAACTTGATATCAATTGGGCAATTGTTTGTGTAGTATAGTGTCTCTGTCTGTGTATTATCTTTGTATCTGAGTGTCCAACTGTTTATTACTTTGGGATGGATGGCTAATCTGGGTGTATGATGAAAGGACAAATTAGCCAGAAGAGCAACTTTATTCTGTAAATACATAGTTTGCATTGTGAGGTTCCCGCTTATAAATGGTTAAAGGGTTGTGATAGTTATAATGGGTTGCCATTTAATTTTTTTAGGTAAGATGCTATAACTTCATATTTGTAATTTTCTATCATATGCTTGTGTTGTAGATTAACCGGGGTTTTAAGCGTCCTGATAATCGGACAGAGGATGAGATAGATGCAGCTGGAGATGGTAACGACAATCTTTACTATCCTTATTATTTTATTATACGGATATATAAAAGATATGTATGATTCCAATTCCTACTTAATTACATTTACAGGTGACGTGTTGGTGGTATTGGATTTGGTGATAGATGAGTCACAACTCAAGACTGGAGCTGCTCGTGAGGTATTCTTATGAGCTGCTTTGTTTGTTTCTGATATCATTTGTCCTTAGCTTATTTATAGGTATTAGTTAATCCCTTTTTGATTGTCTGTGCAATTACTCTATATAGATTGTTAATAGAGTTCAGAAGTTGAAAAAGAAATCTGCACTTGAGCCAACAGATGTAGTTCAGGTCTACTTCAGACCTCTAGACGAGGATAAATCAGTTTCGCAGCAGGTTTTGGAGACACAGGTAACATAGTGATTTATGAATTCAAAGTGTTATTGAGGATTGTTAGTTGCTGCTGCTATATGTATGGATGATAGAGTGGTGATTTCTCGTATTTTCTCTCTCATCAGAAAGAATACATTACTGATGCCATTGGATCTCCATTGCTTCCTGCTGACTCGATTCCACCAAGTGCTGTATGTACTCCCAGCTCTCACTAACCGTTAAAGTGTGAACAATCTCAACAATTATATGATGTTACTTAACGGGGATTTGTACTATTGCAGGTGATTCTCGGAGAAGAGAGTTTCGATGGAGTGTCAGACCTCAAACTCTCGTTCACAATCACCTTAGCAAGAGCTTAGAAAATCCTAGTGTTTTGTTGTTTCTGTATTTTGGGTTCTGGTGCAAGGTCAGGTCATCAAGTTTGTTTTTAGTATTTTGGTTGGTTTTTCAAAAAATTACTTATTTGAGGATGTGTGTGGGGTGGGGGTGTTTATGACACATTTTATCAAAGATAGGTTTTGGGTTTAATGTTTAGAACATACACACTTCTCAGAACAGATCAAAATTTGTAACAAAAATATGCTACCATTGCTTTTACTCCATTAATTAATATATTTATTTTGATGCACACAGTTATCATTTGCATAATAATAATAGTAAATTGCCATTTTGGTCCTTTGACTATTGGAGTTTGTTAATTGTAATTTATGATTGTTAATTTAATACTTTAACTATTCAATTTTTATCAATTTTGATTACTCCGGTTAAATTATCGATTAAATCTCATCGGAAATTTTTAATCGGCAAATTATTGTGTGGAGCATGGTCCACATAGTTGTGTGGACCATGAATTTTATGTACATTTTTAATATATTAAAATTACATTATTTTTGTACTGAATGTATATTATTTTTGTATTGAAAATACATTATATAAAATAATATAATTTTAGAATATTAAAAATGTACTTTCAAAAATTCATTGCCAAAATTGGAGATTGAATTTGAATTCTTTTTTTATATAGTTCTAAAAAGTGTAAATTCTTATCCTTACCCTACCTAGTAATGTAAATTAAAACATGCTTTAGCTGAATTTGTCGAACCTCAAAACAATATTAAACCAATAATATTTTCTTTACCAGACAAAATAGTCACTTAAATTCAAAGTGTTATTGAGGATTGTTAGTTGCTGCTCTATGCATGGATGATTGAGTGGATTTTCTCGTATTTTCTCTCTCATCAGAAAGGATACATTACTGATGCCATTGGATCTCCATTGCTTCCTGCTGATTCGATTCCACCAAGTGTTGTATGTACTCTCAACTCTTACTAACCGTTAAAGTGTGAACAATAATCTCAACATTTATACGATGTTACTTAACGGGGATTTGTACTATTGCAGGTGATTCTGGGAGAAAAGAGTTTCGATGGGGTGTCAGACCTCAAACTCTCGTTCACAATTACCTTAGGAAGAGCTTAGAAAATAGTGTTTTGTTGTTTCTGAAACACTGCTAGACACAGTTTATCAAAGAGAGGTTTTGAGTTTAATGTTTAAAAAATACTCACTTTGCTCATATCAGATCAAAATTTGTAACAAAAATATGCTACCATTGCTTTTACTCCATTAATTAATATTTTTATTTTTTGTTTTGTTTTACTATAGTTTTGTTTGGTTATCGGCGTTTTAATTGCCAAATAAGGCCTATATAGTGTTAAATTAACATTAGCTGCAAAATAAGAAAATATCGACCTTAATCTAACGAGAGATTATATTCCTAAACGAGGATAAAGGAATTCAAAATCTAAATTTACTAATATAGCTTATCATCGTTAGTAGACACTGTACTCCAACGTTTTTACCTTAGAATCACATAAATGTTCTCACTATTGCATAGAGCTCCATTTAAGAAAGGTTAATGAATGATTTGTATTGGAAAATTACTTCATTTAATGATGAACATACCAACTGTGTGTGGGCTAATGAGAATAAAATGGACATTGCTGCATTGATAGCCAAGAGATGAAAGAAGCAGATTGCAAGCAACAGTGATTGGAACTTGGAAGATTGAAGAATTTAGGGAGACAGCTTGCACAATTGATTATTATCACATCAGTAAAAGACAGGCCTACAAAGCTATGTCATTAGCTAGAGGTGAGGCCCAAGGGGAAGAAACTGGAGCGTTATGTTGTGCAACCGTGTGCACCATGCTTGGTGCACACGGTTGCAAAAACGACGTCGTTTTGATATCCTACTTAAAAAAATCAGTTTCGATTATTGTTAACAGCGTTATGTTGTGCATAATTTGAACTATATAGTTCATTCATTTTGGATATATAGTTCAAAAAATTTTCGTTTCGATGCCGTTAACAGTGTTATATTGTGCATAATTTGAACTATATAGTTCATTCATTCTGGATACATAGTTCATTCATTCTGGATATATAGTTCATTCATTCGGGATATATAGTTCATTAATTCTGGATATATAGTTCATTAATTCTAGATATATAGTTCAAATTATGCACAACATAACACCTTTAATGGCAATCGAAACTGATTTTTTTTTTTTTAAAGTCGGACACGCCGTTTTTGCAACTGTGTGCACCATGCACACGATTGCACGGCATAATTTGCCGAAGAAACTATGGACTTCAATAGAATTTGGAGTTATTGCAAAGAAATAGAGAAGACAAATACAAAATCAACTTGTCTTAGTTAAGTTATCTGATTTCATGGATGAAAATGGTACAAGGAGAGTGTTAAGGGTATAATCCTTCTTTTCCTAAAGATCGTGTGCGCATATAACACCAAGTCCTTAGATCCAAAAATCACAACTCAACAACAGCAACTTGTTAACGGTTAGCAAAAATAAAATAAAAAACAAAAATAGATTAGACTCCAGAATAAATCTTTCACTAATGTCAATACATAAACGCCACTTCCCCGACAACGACACCAATTTGATTACAGTATAATTTCAAACAAATAATTACTCGGAGAAACAAGTTATCAATCCACAGGGAACTGTAGCGTATTAAGCACTAACTACTAATTTATTCTTGTGAAGCTAATCCTAATTATTATCATCGATGGTTGCATAAAATAACTAAAACAAAGCAAAGTAGCAGGTTTGTGAAACAATAAAAAGAGAATGAGATTCATGGGATTCAAGTATTTCATCACCTAGTGCCAATCTAATGTGAAATATTAAATCTGGGTTTAAACAAGTGTGAGAATGCAAATAGGGGAAAGAGTTACTCCCATAATCTCTAATCTAAGTGAATATTCGCTCCCACGATATAAACACACAACAATACAAGAACAATCATTTATAATAAATTTCTAACTACTACCATCCCCCGATGTGCAATAATCAAGAATTAAATTTCCTAACAAATATGTTATCTCCCAAGGTGCAACAGTTATGTGCAATTGTGTAAGCCCTAAATTATGCCTAACTCCCGTTATGACACAAAGATAGAGCTATGAAACGAGTAATTACGGCTATTAATTACTAGCAACAACAATATAAACACAATTGCAACACAAGTTATAACCCAAATAATAATATATTGACGAATTATAGAACTAGGCACAAAGGTTCATAAATACTTTTACCCACAAATCTCTAAAGTGTTTAGCCGAGCATGGCTAAACTAGAATTCATAATAAAAATAGAGAGTTTACAAATAATTGAAAAGAGTACAAGAATAAACCAAGCGATTCTCCCAAATCTCCTTAGCTTTCTCCTTGCTTCGCAAGACAACTTGAAGCTCACAATTCTCCTCTTTCTTGTCTCCAAAACACCGCATAGGACATCTAGGGTTGAGGGAAGACGTCTTTTTATAGTGGGATCTAAACCGGGGCAAAATAGGAATTTTCCGCGCGAAATTTGGAAGGTGCCAAAACTGCCGAACCATGCCTGCTCGACGCGTCGAGTTTGGCGTCCTTTCTCGCTGCTACCTTCGTAATATTCTCGACGCGTCGAGCCTGGGTGGCGGAACTTCTGGTGCTTACTGTATTTTGTTCGACGCGTTGAGCTTCTTAATTGTAGCTCGGGCATGATGCAATCTGTAAATTTTGGACGCGTCGAATCTCCTGTGTATGCGCTTTTCGGTCCACTTTGACTCCAAACTTGTCCTATAACTTCCCTCGCTCTTGCACTTGACCTACAATGGTTCCAAAACACTAACAAACATTGTAAAACATTCAAAATAAGTGTAAACCATAACTTAATTAGAAAACAAGAGAATATGCAATTAAAGTAACAAATTCATGAACTTAATCCCAATAAATATATTCAATCTATCACAATAAACATGTACAATTAGACTCACATCAAGAGTTTACTCTTATACAAAATGTTGTTATTTTGTCATGATTGAGATTTAATATATTGTACGAAATTTGTGAATATTATAATCTAATTACTCAAAATTGAATGTTCAAAATTTTAATTCCATTTTTTTTTCTAGTCAAGACACTTAATTACAAATTTTTAAACACTTTTTTGGAGGCAAACCAAAAGTAGATTTATAAAAGAGATGAAACAAAATCAAGAGGGGCAAAGTTCTAGTACAGATTGTTAGCTTGAGAATAGGTTATTGTAGCTTAAAGTATGAACTAGAGAATTAGAAGAACGTGAAGAAAATGAATAGAACAAATAATGAAAAACGCATTAAATTTCTACACTCAGTGTTGATAATATCAATATAGGACCTAACATTAGTCGAAGAAGATGCCAGATTGTGACCGAGTTAAACACTTTTTTTTTTTAATGTTCTGAGATCAAATGATTTATGTAAAAGAAGTTTATTCAACAAGTATTCAAAAATAAGACAAGCACACAACTCAATCACATTAATTAATAAGCCAGTTGACAAAGATAAAATTAATTACAACATAGAATAAATGTTTTCATTGTTCCCTAACTATATATTTATATTATGTAGTCTCAATCGAATATCTTATCTTACAATATTTTCATTATTACAACAAACATAATGTTGCCCATTGTGACATCCAATCATGCCTAGTTGATAGATGCACTCAATCCAGAAATGAATGGCGCACCATTCTTTGTCCTATCATTTTTATAATAAACAATTATACAATTTCACTTTCTCAGTCATGCGAAAATCTTCCAAAGGGATTTGATAAGATATATAAAATACGAAAAAGGAAGGCCCATCTAAATTATATAGCATGCCTATCATCCAAATCCAATTCCAACCCACAATATATTGTTTAGTCTTACTAGAGGTACGAGATTTTAAAGTAATTTAATTCGATAAGATATTACAATTGAACTCACAAAGTAACTTAATTTGATAAAATATTACAATTAAACTCATGAACCTTAAAAAATTAATAAAATATATTTTTTTAGTACTACTGTCTTTAATTTGTAACAATGCGCGCAGTTTTGATAGTTATTTTGTGCCACTAGATCATAAAGTCATCATTGACTAATAAAGTATTTGGAACTATAAAAATGTGTGTTTTGGCATGGTCATTTTAGCTAACTAGTTGCTATTAGATAATGGTTGATTTTGTTCTTATATAATCTTTATAAAATATGAAAATAAAGTCTCTCATAATTATATAGTATGTCCATCATTCGATTCCGTATGAAAATAAAGTCTCTCAAAAGATTGATCGAGGAGATTTAAGTTTCGAGTAATTTAATCATATTTTGTAATTTCTTATTTAGTAATAACAATCAAATAAGTGGCATTGATGAAGGGACGCGATTCTAAGGGCTTTATTCGGGAGTTATGGCCAATTTAATTTGTTGCCTAAATGCAAGAGGTACAGTGATATAGAGCACTACAGCATTCGTTATATCGTGGTAACGCGGTGTACGTGAAACGCGGTCAAAACGACACTGTTTTTTTAAGTAAAGAAAAGGAGCGTCGTTACTGTTAATGAAGCGCGCATTTTTTTGTTGTATTAATTACCAATTGAAACTATAGTATATCTAAACTGACACTACAGTGTATCTAAACTGACACTGAAAATATTATCAAATGAAACTGCAGTTATATCAAAATGATAATGTAGTTGTGGTGAAATGAAACGACAATGTATATAAAATGAAATTGAATAAAATTTCACATATTTGAGTGTATATTGTGCAATGAAGCTGTATTTATATTGAAATGATCATGTAGTTGTGTTTTAATGAAACTATAGTATATATAAAATAAAATTAAATAACATTTTCACATATTTGAGTGTATAAATGTCGAATGAAACTGTAGTTATATTGAAATGAAACTGTAGTTGTGGTGAACTGAAACTGCAGTGTATACAAAATGAAACTAAATAACAGAGTTACTTTTTGCGAAACGATGCGAAACGGGTACTATTTCTTTTCATTAAACAAAACGACGTCGATTATGCGCTGTGCACGATATAATTTGCCGATATAGAGGCAATGGGTTGTGAAGTTAGTGCATGTGTTGAGTGAGTAAAATATATCGATGAGATGAAGAGTAGTCGATTGCTTTGCCAAAACTTCAACGGAGTGTCTATTGCACATATATACACGTTGCAAACCGGCAATATAATATGATTGTTGAAGTGGTTTGTGCAGTGCGTGGTCTTTATTGTTCCACAACTTATTGCCCAGATGGAAGTGAAGTTGTAATATTGCCTTTAAAAACAGAAAACAAAAGTATGAAGATTTCAGATCTAAGACCCCTCTCTCTCTCTCTCTTTCTATATATATATATATATATATATATATATATATATATATATATATACACTTTAATTAGTTTTTAAGATCCAATTTACACGTACTTTAATTACAAATTAAATTGGTTACTAATTTGCACATACAATGAGCAGATGACAACATATATGCACCAAAAAAGAAGCAACTAGAGAAAACCTAAAAAAGGAAAGCAATGGCATTATGGAGAAAAAAGCAATTAAGAGGAAGCTATGCTAAGAGACAATGAACACCTGGACGCCTTCAATTCATTACGTTGGCCGGCCACTGACGATATCATGGCCGGTAGGAGATCCACAAACCCTCTCCATCCCCAAAACAAAAAAGATTTTAGTTAAAATATAATATTTTTTTATGAACTCATAAAAAAGTATCACATTATAATTAATATAGTATATAAATAGAAAAATCAGAAAATAATAATAAAATGAACGAAATGTGCAAATGTAAAATATGGATTATGTCATAGTTCTTAATTTGATGATCAATGAGTTATGGACATAGAAACATTTCTCAAAATGAGAAAATGCTTGCACCTTAAAAAATTATAACACATAATAATTTAATATTGATTTATTATTATTATTATTATTATTATAACTAAAAGTATTTAACTATTAAGTATTTGTTATTGTCATATATATATATATATATATATATATATATATATATATATATATATATATATATATATATATATATATGGAATAAAAACAACTTGGCATTCCAAACTCTATATATATACACACATTGTGCTTACCAACCAGCAAAAATCATAAAAACCAATAAAAAATGAAAAAATGAAAGCACAGAGCATTTTGTTGGTTATTATACTAGCCCTAGCAACCTACGCTGCCTTCATTTCCTTGAAACAGCCCGACCGGTACTTGGGAAGCGTCGTCTACGACGTCCACGTCATCAACGGCTTCTCCGACAACTCGTCGATGCCCTTGGTCGTTTGGTGCTCCTCGTCCGCCGACGACGACATTGGTGGCCGGGCGCTCCAGGAGGGAGATGAGTTTAGCTGGAGCGTAAAAACCATTTTCTGGGCGAACATCAAGTTCCGTTGCACCATGAAGTTTGATCGGCGCCGGCGACGGTTCGAAGCGTTCCGGCGGAGCCGAGACGTGGAGCGCTGCAATCCGACGCGGCATTGCTTCTGGTTGGTGAAGAAAGATGGGTTCTATTTTGGCAATGATGGAATCAATTGGAGGAAAGATTTTTCTTGGACTATGTGATTTGAGAGCTGAGAACTTTAAGGTTTTTTTTCGATCGTTAGTTTTCTTCGATTCTCTGTACGCTTTAGTTCCTCGATCGTTTTTGTTATGTAGAGCCGAGCCTAGACGGAAGTTTTAGTAATATAATATTTCAATCGGGAGATGTATTTTTGTTTATGTTCAATCAACCTTAATGAGTTTAATTTAAATTTTATCTTCGCAAACATTTTTTTTAAAAATTTTTATTTTTGTATTAACATTTACTTATTTACATATATGGAGTTTATATCAACTATTTGGTCCCTCGACAATTAAGATTTTATCATTTTGGTCATCAATCTTCAAACTTTCAATTTCATTTTCAATTATGCAATTTTTACTTAAAATACTCTTTGGTCCACATCAAAATAGTCCTGATTTAGAATAATTTTAGTTATAAATTACATAGTTGGATATAAAAGTAAACAAGTTTAAAAGTTGATAATCAAAATGATAAAATTTTAATAATCAAGAAACCAACTGAAATATTAACTCCAATTATATGCCATTACCACATTGGGAGAAAAACTTTAAACAAAGACCTTAAAACAACCATTATAAAGGATCTTCTCAGCGGATTATTGTTATCTCATTAAGACTATTCTTAACTCATAGATGGCAAATTATAACATGCATGGACCAAGATTTACCTAGCGTTGTGGATCTTGATTTAAAATAATCTTCAAATTATATATATATGTGTTTACCGTTAACATATTCTACACATTCAATTAACCTTTTATATGCCTTAAAAACATATAAACTGTTAACTCTAGACACATAATATGTTACGATTTATGTGTCTATAGTTAACATGTTATGTACATTCAATTTATTTACAGACACAAATAATTAGTTGTAGCCTGCAAGTATAGAATATAATATGCCAATTGTAGACACATAATTTTTTATTATGAACAGGAATCTACTATGGTTGCACCACTTGCCACTAGTTGTCATGTCATTGGTCATTATTACTTGTAATAGAAATGGAATACTATATGTACTCTCATTCTATACTCTCACACTTAGAATTTTGATATAGACACATTTACAGGGGTCCACATGAAGAAAATAGTCTATCAATATCCGCCACATTAGGGAGTAAATTTGAGGGAGTATGATTTGGGAGTACATGCATGTAATAGAACTCAATAGAAATAGGTCACCTTTGCCCAACTGAGAGAATCTTCTACACTCTCATTCACTTGTATTCTTGTAACAGTCACGTTAACAATGTCAATCCACATCAAACTGACCGACCAACTTGTATCAACTCTATTAGGGTCCGTTTGGAAAGCAGGAAAATGACTTCTGGAAAATGAGTCATTTTTCGAAAAACATTTTCCTTTACAGTGTTTGGTTGCATTTTGGAAAACTGTTTTTGTGTGTTTGGTTCATTTTCAGAAAAATGAGTAGAATTGTATAATTAAATATTTTAATTATTTTATTTAGAATATTACAACATGTATAATAATATATAATAATATAATAATAATTTTAAATATAAAAAAATAACTAATAATATATCAAAAATATTATGGTGGTGGTGGTGGTGTAGTGGTAGTGGTATTATTTGTTATATAATAATAATAATAATAATAATAATAATAATAATAATAATAATAATAATAGTAATAGTAATAGTAATAGTAATAGTAATAGTAATAGTAATAGTAATAGTAATAATAATAATAATAATAATAATAATAATAATAATAATAATAATAATAATAATAACTGGTGGTGGTATGACGGTGGTGGTGGTGTGGTGACGATGGTTGCAGTGGTATGGTGGTGGTGGTGGTGGCGGCCACGGTGGTATGGTGGTGGTGGTGGTGGTTGCGGTGGTATGGTGGTGGTGGCGGCAGCGGTGGTATGGTAGTGGTGGTGGCAGCGACGGTGGTTGCAGTGGTATGGTGGTGGCGGCGACGATTGCGGTGGTATGGTGGTGGTGGTGGTATGGTCGTGGTGGTGGCGGCGGTGGTGTGGTGGTGGTGGTGGTTGCGGTGGTATGGTCGTGGTGGCGGCAGCGATGGTATGGTGGTGGTGGTGGCGGTATCGATGGTATGGTGGTGGTGGTGGCGGCGACGGTAGTTGCGGTGGTATGGTGGTGGTGGCGGTGGCGGCGGTGATGGTAGTGGTGGTGGTGGCGAGGTGGTTGCAGTGGTATGGTGGTGGTGGCGGTGGTGGCGGTGGTATGGTGGTGGTGATGGCGGCGACTATGGTTGCGGTGGTATGGTGGTGGTGGTAGTATGGTGTTGATGGTGTTGGTGGTGGTAATGGTGGTGGCGGCGACTATGGTTGCGGTGGTATGGTGGTGGTGGTGGTAGCAGCGATGATGGTGGTAGTATGGTGTTGATGGTGTTGGTGGTGGTGTGATGGTGGTGGTGTGGTGGCGGTGGTTGCGGTGGTATAGTGGTGGCGGCGACGGCAGTAGTGGTGGTGATGGTGGTAGTGAGGTGGTGGTGGTATGGTGTTGATGATGTTGGTGGTAGTGTGATGTTGGTGTAAAAGTTGGAAAATGACTTCCCCCAAAAAAGGGGAAGTCATTTTCCTCCAAAACTAGTCTATTTTTCAAAGTCAACGAAAAATGATTTCCGTTGACTTGATTTTTCAGGCACATCCAAACAGTGAAAACTTGGAAAATGATTTCCAGAATTCATTTTCCAGGTTTCCAAACACACCCTTAATGTATTCTCATCTCCTAAATCCTAATATATGTTCTAGTAGTGTAACTCTAGACTCCTATTCTGACTTAATTTATGCTATTAAAGATTATCTTTTCAAGTCAGTTGTTCAATGAATGATGAATTTATGAGAAATTGCCCATATTTATCTTGATCACATCAATGAGTTACTAGCCTGTATCTAATAAAAATGTGTTTGGATGAGAAAAACACGTGGTTTTAAAAATCAGAAATATACAATTCAAATAAGTAATTATTTCTTTTCAGACAATTCCATTCTAATAATTAGATTTTAATGAAACCTTAGCACCCCCAACAAATTTATAATTCCTCTTGTCACTCTTCTTCTACATGCAATCTCGAAACAATATGAGGATTAGCACATATTGTTTTAAAAAATTACTCTTTGATCCTTCATATACTATACCTTAACGTCTAAATAGTAAAATTCGATTTAATTTAGCTTTTCTTATTAAAAAAAATAAATAAATAAAACTAGTGATTTTTATCAAAATATTTTTATATAAAACATCTCCTATATTCCTTACCTCTTATATTAATATTATAATACACTTTAATTTTCGTAATGATATGATTTAAATATTGATTATTAATCATTGGAGTGTTTTATCTTTGGGTCGGTCAAGATAAATTAAGCTCCACTAGCTCCTTACGATAAATGATAATATATAGTGCGAAGTCCATTAAAAATTTCACATGAAAATTGACAAGCCTATATATGCACAACTAGCCTATTTGTTTAATACAAATCATTATAATCTAGCTAGTGGAGTGAGTACATCTCAAACCAAGCATGCGCACCAACGATATTACATTTTATTTTTCCTTCATATATATATATATATATATATATATATATATATATATATATATATATGTGTGTATATATATATGTTCAAGTGCATCCACATGTTCCTTAAATTCAGTGGTGACTGGATATTCAATGAGTTGTACTTTTATTACTTCCTAGCTGACTCCGTTGCGTTCGCAGCTCAGGAATAGGATGACTAGTGACAGGATAATTGGACAAGGTACTAGACTCGATCTAGTGCACTCTTTGTCTAACCCGTCAAAATAGTGAAGACAATCATCAAACAGTAACGATCAGAGAGAGTAGGTAGAATAATTGCAAGAGCACCGCCTCATCAAAGATCAGTAGTTATGGAGGGTCAGGGCACTTATGAAGGGGATCGAGTGACTCAATTACTAAGGAGCCATTGTAGTTATTAGGAGGTTGTTGTGCCGTTACCAATGTATAGTATAAAAACTGAGCCTAGATAACAACAATGAGGGACCCTCTGATTCTTGAACTAACACATATAGCAATACAATTACTTTGCCTATTACTTCTTGAGTTCTTTCAGAATATATTCAGGTGACATATCGTTCAATGTATTATCACATTTATATTTTGTACTTGAAATATTATCAAGCTAGACATAATGTTTTTAAACATTACAAGATGTTTTTTTTTTTTTTTTTATGATAGATTAGCATATGTATATTATATACTTTATCTGTCTTTAAAAAGTTGCCCAATATTTTATTTCTCAACACAAGATTAAACAATCAAATTTAATTTGATTACGTTTTAAAAGATATGTTGTACTCCGTATCTCTTTAGATTTGTAAATTGTATATTTTGAAATAGGTAATACATGATTTGTAGTTTCATAATATCTAATTTTTAATTTAATTTTAAAAATATGGATGACATGCAACGGGCCGGAATATACTCTATGTCCCCTTTGGACAAAAGAAATTTTCCTTCTCCTCAGTAGAAATTTTTCGAGGACGGAGGACCTCGAATCCTAATCAAACTAGTATCTTAATATTTAAGTATAAATAAATAAAAGATTACGTTCTTAATATTAACATATTTAAACTTTTAGGCATTATGATAACAAAAATATTAAATACAAAATGCAAATAAGAACACACCATACATATATATATATATATATATATATATATATATATATATATAAGAGAATTGTGGACGTCGCTAGGAGTGCTATAACGAAAATATTAAATACAAAAGAGAATTAGGGATGTCGGAAGGAGTGATATACTCGTCTTTGACAGGATAACCTGTGACCTCCCATTTAGGATAGCTACAATCATGCCGCTTGACAAGGTCATTGACATAATAAGCATTCTTATTAGCTATTAAAGGAACATCCGTATTTTGTTAATAAAAATTATTAAGGTATGTAGTTATTATGTGATAAATCCAGTTAATCACATATTAGATGTTTTGGATATGTTCGTAAGTAATATATATGATAAGTAAAATTCTGTGATAGAATTGTATTGTTAATAATTAAATTAATTGCATAACAAGCTCCAGCAAATAAGAATTTTATTTGTTTACAGTTTTTAAAGCAATATAATGGACTTTTACTTGTTTAATATATATATTTTAAATAAATTTAGTATATAGCAAAAATATAAAAATAAGTTGAGTAA